ACATGAAACCCCTTCATAAAGTTTTTTTTACTTTTCAATAAAAAGTTTCAGTGATTTTTAAAAGTCAATAGTTAGAAGTGGGACTTGATTACATCAAAGATTTTATTTACAGAATTATAGAAATTTAGAACTGGAAAGAAGAATCATTTAGTACCCTTCACTCTGTTGAGTATATTCAATTTATCTATTATTTACTTATTGGGGTATAGGTGTGTTTAGGGAACACTAGCACCCCTGGTGTGAGGGCTGCTGAGCCCTTTTCAGGGTTGCTCTCCACTTTTGGTGTCTACCTGATCCACTAACTCTCACCTGTGGCTCCAAGAAGCTGTAGCATGTGCAGCGGCCACACTCTAGGAAACTGTTTTGGCAGATAGGCTAAACCAGGCTTAGGGTAACTGAGAGGTCTCAAACCCTTTGGTGAAGTAGGAAGGTATCTTCCCCAAGCATGTGAAGACTTCTCCTGGTAGAATGGGTGGATAAGAACAATTTGTTCCAAAAGCCATGAAGGCAGCTGAAGCAGACGAGTGGAGGACTTGAGCATTTGGTTAGACATCATAGACACAAAAATCATCTTCTATATCTCAAGCCATCACCAACTACCTTGACTTTGAACTGCCATTGAACTATAATGACTCTGGAAGAAAGAGTAAGACCAACAACTTCATATAACTTTACCTCATTTAAATCCAATTTGTGCATGAATCAAAGGACATCACCTATACCATTTTACCATTTTTACCTATCTCAAAAGTCCTGTGTGACAGGCAAGTGATGAAGTAGCTGTTGTGGATATACTGGTAGCTGTAGTCAAAACCCTGCACAAAGGCGGCCCAGGCCATAGGGTCATTTTCTCACTGGAAGCAGCACTGGGATTTAGCAGCCCCCTGGGTGTCTGAGCAGCCTTTTAAGGACCATACTGCTCACCTCCTAGTGTCAGGAAGGGGCTAGAAAAGGTGCCCTAAAAACTGTCTGCTTACCCAACCCAGGCTTGTTTACCATGGCAGACAGGGAGTCCTACATTCTGTGGTTGAAACAAAAAAAAAAAGCACAAAAATTTCTGCAAAGATGATTCCCCTTACCATCAGTACATGAAACGTATGCCACTTGCAGACAACATAAAATCCAGTAGACCTGAAAGATGGACAGTTCTTGCTTCAAGAGAATTCAGCAGATATTACATACAAATAGCAGCCCTGAGTGAAACAAGGCTGGCAAATAAAGGCCAGCTTACTAAGTAGGAGCAAAAACATGTTTTTCTAGTGTGGCTGCAGTGAAGGGGAGTGTCATAGAACTGGATTAGGTTTTGCAATCAAAACTACTCTAGTCAACAAGCTTATATGCCTACCAAAGAAGTGAAAGACAGCCTCATGATAATGTGATTGCCATTTGCAGGAAAGCACCATGCAACCATCATTAGTGCCTGTGCTCCCACCATGACAAACCCTGATAAGATCAAAGAAAAATTTTGTAAAGATCTGGAGATCCTCAAAATCAATATGCCAAAAGAGGTCAGACTCATGACTCTGAGTGACTTTAATGCAAGAGTGGGGACACACTACCAAACATGGCAGGGAGTTCTTGGGAGGAATGGAGTTCCTCCAGCAAGGGTCACTTACTACTGAAGCCTTGTGCTTTTCATGATGTTCTTATCACCAAACACTGTCTCTGTTTACCTAAATGCAATAAAACTTCGTGGATGCACCCTCATAACAAACATTGGCACTTAATATGCTATGTTATTGTAAGGAAAGGAGTCAGGATGTGAGAGTGACAAAGGTGATGTGTGGTACAGAGTGCTGGATTGATCACAGACTTATCCTCTCCAAGCTAAATATTCACATTCAACAAAAGCAGTGGCCCCAAGGCAGGATGACTAACAGAAGACTTAATGTCAACAGATTAGAGCACTTCTCTTAGTTGAATGACTTGTTGCTAACTTGGAAGAAAAGCTGAACCAACACATATTTGGCAACAGTGGAGCAGAAAAGGAGCGGGCAGCTTACAGAGATGGTATATAGCACTGCACTTACTCATCTAGGTCAGAACACTCTCAAACATCAAGACTGGTTTGACAAAAATGATGGGGAAATTCAGAAGATGCTAAATGAAAAGCAAGAATTCCACAGGTTTCACCACTGGGATAGCACACCCATCTCTAAGAAGGTAGCATTTAACTCCATCAAAAGTAAAGTACAAGTGAAGCTTAGAGAGATGCAGGATTCTAGGCACAGTAAGAAGGCAGATGAAATTTAGTTTTATGCAGATAGTAACAATCCAAAGTGCTTTTATGATGCCCTGAAGGCTATTTATGGGCCAAAGACCTCTAGTGCATCTCAACTACTCAGTGCTAATGGAGGCAGGTTGATTGGTGCTAAGGACATGATCCTGAAGAGATGGGCTGAACACTTCCATAGTGTTCTCAATAGACCATCAAAAGCAATGCTGAAGTCACTGACTGTTAACCCCAGGTTGAAGTCAATCCCTCTCTAGCCAAGTTTCCAATTGAAGAAAAGGTTCTGAATTCCATTAAGCTCCTCTCCTGTGGCAAAGCACCTGGTATTGATTCTATTCCAGTTGAGATTTAGATGTTTGGGGGGTCCATTGCTCATGGAATTTGCTAGGTTATATGGCAGGAGGAGATTATCCCCCAGGAGTTTAAGGTCTCCTTCATTGTTCATCTCTATAAAGGTAAAGGAAATAGATTGTCCTATGACAATCACAGGAGTGAAGTGGGGGAGGGAGATTTCTCTCTTAATCATTGCTGGCAAGATTCTTGCCAGGGTGTTCCTTAATAGGCTGATCCTTCAAATGGAAGATGGTCATCTACCTGAGAGCCAGTGTGGCTTCAGAAAGGGCCGAGGAATGGTCAATATGGTGTTTGTTCCTCAACAACTCCAGAAGAAATGCCAGGAGCAGAATAGAGAGGTCTGTACACAACGTTTGCTGATCTGGCCTTTGATAATGAATATGTCAAAATCTGGTTGCCTGGAGAAGTTCATCAGTATTGTATATCAATTTCATGATGGCATGCTTGCCCAGGTTCTGGATAACGGATGGTGCTCTTGAGCTTTCCCAGTCACCAATGGCTAAGGCTATGTGCTTGCTCCCATTTTTCAGCAGGATGTTTTCAGTAATGCTGTTAGATTCCTTCGGTGAGGATGAACATGACATCAAGGTCAGCTACTGCCCTGATGGTAAATTATTTAACTTGATAAGGCTACAAGCCAAAACTAAAGGGGAGGGAGAGTTGGTGCATGATTTTTTTGTTCACTGATGACTGTGCTCTCAATACACCCTCTGAAGCAGAGATGCAACAAAGCATGAATCCATTCTCTGCTGCTTGTGCTAATTTTGGCCTAACAATTAATACCAATTAACACCAAGAAAATACAGCTGCTCTACCAGCCAGCACCACATCATCCATACATGGAACCACCAGTTATAGCAAATGGATACTGTGGATTAAGTTCATTTACCTTGGTAGTATACTTTCCAGGGATGTACACATTGATAATGAGGTTAACACACGATTATCAGAGCTAGCTCAGTGTTTGTGAGGCTCCAAAGGAAAGTGTTGGAGAGAAGAGGTATTTAGACTGACTACCAAACTGAAGGTCTATAGAGCTATTGTGCTACCTCATTGTTATATGCCTGTGGAACCTGGACAGTACACTAGTGCCATGCCAGGAAACTGAATCACTTCCATTTGAATTGTCTTAGGAAGATTCTGAGGATCACCTGGCAGGATAAGGTACCAGACACTGAGGTCCTTTCTTGAACTAAACTGCCAAGCATTCAAACTCCACTGCAGAGAGGGCAACTCTGATGGGCTAGCCATATTGTTCAAATGCCAAATATACACTAGCGTAAAAGACTATTTTACAGAGTACTCACACAGAGCAAGCATTCACGGTCAGAAGTGATAAAAGGACACTCTCAAGGCCTCTCTGAAGAACTCTGGAATTGACTGTGTGACAAGGGAGACACTGGCATAGGATTGCCCAGCATGGCATACCCTCATCAAAGAAAGTGCTGTGCTCTATGAGCAAAGCAGAATTGAACTAGCCCAAAAGAAACACGGAATGCACAAATTTAGAGAATCCACCCCAAATGTTCACATGGACTATTTGTGCCTGACCTGTGGTAAAGCATTTCAAGCTTGTTTGGTCTGATCAGCCACAGTTGGGCACACTGCAACTTGACTCTAACAGTGATGTCATTTTGGTCCTCTTTGAGAACTAAGGAAAACAACTAACCATATAGCTCGTTTGTACATAGTTGTTAGCACATTGTATCCTCCCTTAGAATGTGAGCAACTTGAAAACAGTAACTACATTTTACCTTTCTTTGTATCCCCAGGGCTTAGCAAAGTGCCCGACACCGAGTAGGCACTAAATAAATGTTTACTGACTGAGTTTCTCTGTCATACTATCCTGACCCAATATAATTTAGATACAGTAAGGTATGTTGCCTTACACTGGGGGTAAATATATTGCCCTCAGCAGATCACAACAATTAAAAGTTAGTAAACATGAAGTTTTTCATAGCAGTAATTCTTAACATATAAAATTTGCAGAGGGTACTTGGAGAAGGAACATAGGGTGGTAGATTGATAGCTGACTAAAAAGACCTAGGTAAAAATCTCGCCTTAGACTCTGACCCAGGGCAAGTTAATTAACTTCTCAGTGCCCCCAGGTATGACAGCAGAACAATTGGTGGTGGTGGTGGTAGTGGTAGAGGAGGAGAAGAGTTTAGAGATTAGACCGTACATATTTCACAACTGGAGTGTACTTTTAAGTCCGTAAAAAAAAAATGGCTAGAGCATTATGAAACTGAGGGGGAGGGGGAACATCTCATCTGTCAATAAAAGAAATAGGTTTGTTATCCCTAGAAAAGATCCAAGCTTAGCAGGGTTTAAACATAGCTCCAAAATAATAAAGAAAAAGTGTCACAGTGATAACTGTACATCAGAGAAGTAAATTAAAGGTGTCCACACTTACCTGCTTGAAAAGTTGAAGGTTCACTGCAGTTTCCAAAAATTGCTTCATCAAGCTGGAACGATGCTTTACAAAACTATCCTCACAAAAAGTGATAGGCTCTCCCTAAATTTAGATAGAGATTTGTAAAGGCATCAGCAAATAATCATGAAATTATGGAGTACTCAATGTATATAAATATCTATATCTATAGCCATACACATATATACATACTTATATGTATACATACACACACACACACACAAACACACACAAACTTGGGTTCTTTGGGATATATGGGCCTCCCTTCATGGAGCTTATAGGACAATGAGAGTGACATATTGTTCAGATCTTATAACAGAAAAGATTGTCATTAGTTAAGAAATATGGTTCTTCCCAACAGTCTCTGCTAAGTACAATATACTTTTAATTAAACATAGACAAGTTAGGACACCTGATAAGTAAATAGTGATGCTTAATTGCAGTTTCCCTCACAATGAAATGGAACCAGGCCTAAGTAAGGGAAGCACTCAATCCTTGATACTCCCGAATCACAAAATTAATAAAGGCTTCACAGGCCTATTGGTTAGATTCAAAAAATGCATATCATAGCTAATACAGATATATGTTTTGTATGATTTCACAAGTATAATTGTTGTCATTTTGCTTGCCTCCTCAGTAGGTAGGAGAGGAGTAGGAGGGAGGGTGAAAATTTGGAATCAAATTTAAAAAAAGAATGTTCAAAATTAATTAAAAATATGCATATTAGCAAATATACAACAGATAACAATTTCATTATAATATTTACATTTTTTCACTGACTATAAAATTCTGATTATTTAGTATTCTAATAATTTGTATAATGTGCTTATCATAAACTTAATTTTTTTATGAATTGGCTCTTCACTTGAAAGTTTATCTCTTCTTCATGATTACAAATCCAATTCTAAGCAGATATTTGTTTCCTACATCTGCCTTCACATTTTACTCCATTAATCTACTAATTATTCTTTTTTTTACATTTGCTTTACAGTAGAACTAGTAGTCTACTAAATTAGCATAGCTTCAGTGGCAAATACAAACTGTGCAAATTTTATCTGGGTCTATCATTGCTTACCATTCATGTACTTCAAAACTCATCACACAATTCTGACACTGGCAGATCCCTCACTATCTGTAGACTTCTTCCCTAAGTAGGCCCTTGACCATCCAACACTTATAAAGAGAGATAGTAGATTTAAAATAATACTGCAGAAAAGTAAAACAATAATTAATGAGTTGCACTGACAATCTACATTTCAGTGTAAATAGGAAAATGCAAATCTATTCAATCAGAATTATATTTAGAAAAATTTTAAAAGTACTATTTAAGGAGCTGTGGAATATACAAAGACTAAATTCAAACTCCTGACCTAAGGGTCAGGAGGTTACTTGGAAGGAGAGTGAGTTTGATTCAAAGTAAGATACGTATGAAGAAATAGTGGAAAACCAGGCTGATTAGTCCCAAGACATGGAGGCCTTGATTATTATTTGGTACTTATAAAAATACCTTAGAGTAATACTGGGCCCTCACTCTTGCTAGACAATTCTTCTATGCTTGCCTTATCAACTCACTATTTCACTCTCTACATCAGCTCTTCTAAACCTTTTCAACCTTTCTCAAACCTCCCCCCCTTCCCTTACCCTCTAAACTGAGAATCTTCCCTCATATTTTACAGAAAAAAATTAAGGCCACTGTCAGTGACTTTCCTCTTTTCTCCTCTTCCTTATCTCCTATTGTTCAGATTCCTTCCACCACTATCTCCTCCTTCACTCCTGTCTCACATGATGACTGTAAGGTACTCCTTCCCAAGACTAATCCCTCTACCTGCTTAAGCAATCCCATTCTATCCCTGTCTCCTCCAACAGACTGCCCCATCTATAATCCTTACTTTATCACTTATTTGCAATCTCTTCTTGTCTACTGGCTCATTCCTTACTGACTACAAACATGACCATGTCTCCATCATCCTCAAAAAACCCTCACTTAATTCTTACATCCCCACTATCACCCAATATCTCTTCTACCTTTTGAAGCTAAACTTTAAAAGGCCATCTACAATAAATGACACTTTAACTTTCTTTCCTTCACTCTCTTCATTCTCTCCTGGGCACTATTTCACTTGGTGATTTCATTGACTCCCATGGATTTAATTCTTATCTCTACACTGATGATTCTCAAATCTACATATCCTGCCTCAACCTATCCGTGAACCTACAATCTTACATCTCCCAACTATTTTTCAGATATCTAAAAATGGATGTACAATACATATCTTAAATTAAACATATCCAAAACCCCCAAAGCACCACCCCTTCCTACTTTCCCTATTACTGCGCAGGGCAACACCATCCTCTCAGTCCCTCAGGTTCACAAGTCATTCTTTACTCCTCACTCTCTCTCATTCCAATCCTTTACTAAGACTTGTGAGTTTCACCTTTGCAACATCTCTCATATACATCCCCTTCTCTCCTGTGACACTGACAACACTGGTACAGGCCCTCATCACCTCATACCTGGGTTATTGAAATAGCCTGCTGGTCAGTCTTCCTGCTTTAAGTCTCTCCCCATCCTCCATTCAGTCACTAAAGTGATTTTCCTAAAGAGTAGGTCCAATCACGTCACCTCTCACCTCCACCCCGACTCTGATTCAATAAATTCCAGTGGCTCCCTGTCCCCTCCAGGATCCAATACGAAGTTCTCTGTTTGGACTTTAAAGCCCAACTTAACCTAGACCCCCTTCTTCTTTTCCAGTCTTATCACACTTGACTCTTTGCCACATACTTTTAAATCTAGTGATATTGACTTCTTGACTGTTACATTAACTAGACACACTCCATCTCTTGGCTCCAGGTACTTTCTCTGGCTGTTCCCTACGCCTGGACTGTTCTCCCTTCTCATCTCCACTTATTAGCTTCCTTTAAAGTGGTTACCTTTAAGTTCCAACTAAAATCCCATTTCCTATAAGAAGTCTTTACCACCCCCTCTTAATTCTAGTGCCTTCTCTCTTTTAATTATTTCCTATTTATCTTGCATTTAATTTACACATATTTGTTTGCTTGTTGTCTCCCCCATTAGACTGTGATCTCCTTGAGGGCGAGGACTGTCTTTTGCCTCTTTTTGTATCCCAACATTTCATATAGTGCTTGGCACATAATAGGCACTTAATAAATGTTTACTGATTGACCCCTTTAGGAGTCTACTGCAATTGATTTGCTGAGATAATTCTCATTAGGTTGTACTCCAAATTTCTCCACCATGTCCCAGAAAACTTCATCCTGGAAGATTACCTCAGCATAGGAATTCACACCTCCCAAGTATCCTCAGCCCCTCTGCCCCCCCCCCCCCCATTGGATGGCTGCTCTTGGAATCTCCTTGTAATGAGGGTGCCCAGATCAGCTATTTCTTCATTTCTCACCAGGTTGCAATCTATACTCCTCTTGCTTCCTGTACTGGATACCTTCTACCACCACCCCCAACCCCACTTTTCACCTTTCTTTCATGTGCTGTCTTTCCCCATTAGAATCTGTGTTCCTTGAGGGCAAGTACTACTGCTCTTTTTGTTTGTATTTGTATTCCCCACTCTTAGCACAGCACATGACACATAGTAAGTTCTTAATAAATGATTGTGAACAGAACAACTTAATAAGGGTCTGAACACAAGGAAAGGATTTACATAAGATATTTTGGAGGTAGAACTGATAGGATGGACTGTTAGGGACAGCAGGAGTTAAAAGAGAATTCAAAAGGTTTCTGGCATGGTTGATAAGAAGAAAGACTTCAGAAAAGCATAATTAAAAAATTAGTTTGGGTGCAGTGGTGATGACCTTGTTCTGAATTGTTGAATTTGTGATGATGTTGGGATAGCTGGGCAGAGATGTCTACCATTCTGTTAGAAAATATGGAAGTGGAGCTTGGGAAAAAAGTCAGTACCAGAGAAAATTATAATAGACATTCCAAAGGCATTTTAAATTTGTAAAGTGCCATACTTTATCTCATTTGATGCCCACAACAACTCTATGAGGAAGGTTTTGTCATCATCTCAATTTTTACAAATGAGGGAACTGAAGTTCAGAGAAGTTAAGTGTCCACTGTCACAAAGCCAACGTTAGGTAAATGATTTGAACCCAGGTCTTCCTGATCACAAGTATAGTACTGTAATCACTATGAAATGCTGATCTGGGAGATCACTGTGTGGAAGTCATTGTTGTTGCCTCAGGTAGATGAGATTGTTAAGGAAGGAAGAAAAGGGAGAAAAAATGAGATCCACTATCTAAAGGAATACCAACATTTAAGAAACTACAACTGTGTGTGTGTGTATGTGTGTGGGCAGCTAGGTGGCTTAGTGGACAGAGCACTTGCCCTGGAGTCAACAGGACCTGAGTTCAAAGCTGACTTCAGCCACATATTAGCTATGTGACCCTGGGCAAGTCACCCAACTCTGATTGCCCCCTGAGCCCTCCCCCCTACCCCCCCAAAAAGAAACTACAAGTGAAGGTAGCAAAGGAAGCAAAGAAGAAACATAGAGGTAAGAGAACCAGGACAGTGCAATGCCATGAAACTGAAGGGATGAGCATTTCAAGACTGTGGTGTTCAGTGTCCAATCCCACCAGAAGCTAAGAACTGAGAAAATGCTATTGGCAAATTAGTAGGTCATTGGTAGCCTACACTGTGTCTACTGGCATGCCCTAAACAACTCCCAGAGGAGGCCTTATGCCTGTCTGTCCACATGGCCTAAAAGTTTCATGCCTTACTTTTTTCTATTGCTTTAAATCCTGGGTTACTATTACAAACTGACTCCTTTATTTCTGCTCACATACTGCTAAACAGGGTTGAAAGAAGTGGTATAACAGAGCTGACTGGGTCCACTACAAATTTAGGTTATCTAATTTCAACTGGACCCTCGCTACTACAAGACAATTCTATCCCCCTAATCAGTTCTATATCCCACAGACCACAACAGAACTTCCAAACTTTCACTTACACTTATTTGTAGTTGTTTTGTTGGTTAGTTGTTTTTCAGTTATGTCTGACTCTTCGTGACCCCATTTGGGGTTTTCTTGACAAAGATACTGGGATGGTTTGC